GGCCAGGAGCCCCTAGTAGCGTCCTTGCTCCTAGTAGTACGGCCAGGAGCCCCTAGTAGCTTCCCAAAGGACGGTTTCAATCGAAATTCTCACTTCCGTTCAATCCGTATAAAACGTGGATTGTACTCTGAAAGTAGACTAAGTAGACAACCAAAAGGTGTATGTAAATCCGACGTAAAAGCCAAAGCCTATGTCCATGTCAAGAGTACATGTTCGACATTCATTGAATTGAATTGAATTCAGCTTCCCCAAGCCTGGCTCGCGAGGACATCAGGACGACCGAAGCGCTTCGGTGGTGTGCAGGGCGACCGGGCCTTGGCGATTTTACCCAATGCCAGGCAACCGAGGACGGAGGGGAGCTTTGACCCGTTTCATCAAGCTTTCACAATTGGGAGATTTGTGAGGGATGTTGGAATCAATGAGCTTCCTCACATCGTGGTTACTGCCAGGGATGAAACACCAAATCTGTGCTCTCTCTCGCTCTCTCTCTCTCTCTCTGTCTTTACCTCTCCTTCTCTCTCCTTCCCTCCCTTTGTCTGATGATCCTGGTTTCCAATTCCCCACCTTCTTCGGGGTCTGTGACTTCATGAAAGGATCATGCGTGCTCTCTCAGTGGCTCACCGCCCAACAGGGCGACCAGGAAGGCAACCCCGCCGCCATACTGAGCCCAATGCTGCTGAACCATGCGAACAAACCCTTGAGAAGAACTGCCGGTGTTGGTGCCCTCAATGGTGGAAGGTTTCACAAGGTACAGGGTAATCTTCCCCGTGCAACAATAACCCAAGTTGAAGCAATTTAGCCACTACTCAGGCCTCGTGTCAAATCACACGACAACCACTTTTCCCTCAAGGACACTGCGCTCAACTTCAAGCCGACTATGGACAAAGCAATGATGGTCTTGAGATGCTTGGAGCTGTGTATGATTGTTAAATTGCTGCATGTCGAATCCATTCAAATCCCCTCCTTGTTATCTGCCTGGTATACCCTGAAATGGCATCTTAAAACTGGGGAAGCATCATTGAGTCGTGGCCGACACCCAGCTTACAAGCACGATTGACAATGCAAACAAGTAGTTTCCCTTGAATCACGAGAGACGGACAAAACAACTTAAGCAATCCCTCCTGCGCGTATGCTTTACGGCAATTAGTAAACAAGGTATGTGTCTCGACATGCACGAGCTTGCACGCTACATATGCACACATACACATCATGAAGATGGCATGTCTCATGATGCAGAAGCCTTGGCCAATCTTAAGGCTCACCTCTTTCCCTCACAAAGCTGCGGATATCCCATGACCATCACCAAAAACCAGGGCTTCGCCATGACGCAATCTGCGTCATCGGCCTTCCTAGCTTGGCTGAAGCACGGCCATCAACCTTCGCCTGCGGTGATGTCACAAAGACCAACGTTTCGCCGTGTCACACACCGTGAGCCACACACGTGACGATCACATCTGACATCACCGCAAGAGCATAGCTTCTCAGCTTCGATGGCAAGCAAAGGTACTGCAAATTTAGGCCCTCACCGAGCATTCCATCACGGTGTGTTGCTCGTCAAATTGCAAAGTGCAATCAGAGTGGTTCAAGACTCTCAAGACAGCAAGTTGAGTTCAGAAGAGGCCATTAAAGTAAATATATCAGATTATTTAGTACACTTGCATTTGCACATTTATGTACGTGCGTCTCGTTCTCCTGTTTCATTATATCCTTAGTATCAAACATCTCATACCGCGGTCGCGTCATTTAAAGCAATTCTCGCAGGAGTGCGCCACCACAGAGGTGGCGCAGTCGCAAACTATGTACAAAGCACACCACATGCCTCGAACAGTACGAGGTGATGGCAGTTACCTTCAACCATGTTGTTCAAACATCTGCAAACAACCACGATTTTGGGGGTCGATTTCAGGTTCAACTGCGTGGTGTGCTCGCCAATAGGCATCAAGTGTCTTGCAGCCTAGTTCACCAATTCCGAACTTTAGCTTTGAATCTGGCGCCCATGTAACGTCTCAACACCTGTCACTGAACACTAATATTCGGGCAAATACATAACGTAGACTGACATGTAAAAAGTTCCACAAGAAGGACGATGAAACAATCTCATCTCTCAGGTGAACTCGAGCATTGAACCTCACATGAGTACACACTTCTGAAAAAAGGCAACATGAAACTGAAACCTTGAAGCTGCAGCAAGAGTCTGCAAAGCTTGATCGCAAGGTGCAAGTGATACGACTTGACTGCCGCACTGAGGGCAGGGCAAAAATTGCACAAAATTTGGTCCCAAATGCCTTGATTGGTGCTGACTTTCCAACTGGGAATTGCTCCACTTTCGGGGGGAACACACAGCGCTGTTTCTCCTCTCACAAACACAAGGGCCTCTGGAGCGACCCTTTTTTCAGCATCCGGAGTCCACTTGGGCAGATTGGGCCGACGCGTCGGGCTGTGTCCTCCACTTCTTCCCTTCAGGCTTCCACCCGGTCTTTGAGGCACCGTCCCCCTTTCCTGGCGGAAACGACTTTCCGACTCGGGCGAGGGCGATCGATCGATCGTCGGTCCAGTCCGTCGGCTCGGGCTGGTGGGTTGGTCCTCGCGGTCTCAAACGGAGACGATGGTTCACTTGGTCTAACCATGAACTAGAGCCATGAGCCATGAACTTCTGGAAACTGGGTAGAATTTGGTCCATCTTCTACTCCCCAAGTCGACACATGTCCTTGAGACCCATCCGATTGACACAGCCTTCTTCCGATCACAAGGGCGACACAAGCCAGGACCAAGGGCCAGGATGGATGCACCCAAGCAACCTTTCATGAACATAGATCCGAAAGCCGTGTTTTTTTTCTGGTCTGGCCAGCATCTTGGTAAGTCATTCGCCTTTTGTGCATATCCAAGCTAAGAATGATTGGACGATGCAGTAAACCACTCCGCGATACGAAGAATTCATGAGCCACATATGATATACCCTGCGATGCGCATCGCCTTGGCAGCACACTGCGCGGTACGTGCGGCACGCTGTATACGAGGCACAATAAACATGTAATTATTGAAACAATAGGATCACTTATATATATATATATATATTATATCTATGATCAATGCAATCTGGTATGGCTCCAGAATTGGCACCCCAATCTGAAGAGGAAGAATGAACAAGAGTGGATCCCCAGCGGCCCCAGCGGTTTTGAGCCAACGACCATCTATTATCTATTATTTCACTACCTCTTAGTGTGACTGGCACAACGAGGATGCTAACCTGGCGGAAGAACCGCTGGCTTTTATGGGCTGTGCTCCTGTCACAACGTTAGGTGCTAGGTGCTCTTCAATATCTTAACTACGTGCTAAGCTATGTGCTATCTCGTGCCTCCAGCAAAGCTATCTGTTCGTTCGCTGAAGCGCAGCAAGCGATGCAGCACTGACCTGCTGTTCACTTTTTGGAATTGCCACGCGTTTCCCGACGTTGGCGTCTGAATCGCCCTAGCAAAACCATGACATATCAAGGCGGCGAGGACACTTGGGTGGTGCAATCAAACCCAAGGACCTCGAATTTCCTTCAAGCTCCTGGCTTCTTCCCATTCTTTTGATGCCCCTCTTGCCTGTGTGAAACATTCGTCCATGTGACATCAACAGGCATCCTTCCCACAAAGTGGGCAGGTCTTGCGACACTCGGAGAGCCACCTGGGAGGTAGCCACATGGCCCGGAGGTAGCCACATCATGATAGGACGTCTATGGTGGGCCATTGAATCGCCTCTGGCAAGAACATGTTGAGGAATCAACAAGTACAGTACTTTCAATTGACTTCATTTAAGGATAAACTCTGCCCAGTACCCAAACTCACCAGTCTGAAAAAGGGACTGGACCTTGGACGTACATACCAGGAGAGTGAAACATACCAGTTGCAGCAAAACTGCCTCCCACGTATCTCGGAGCTGTTGGGGAGCAAACCTTGAGATGCAGTCACGGTGGAATTGATGTTTGCACTGCATGGCCGCAACATGGTTGTCGTCCTCAGCGACAGGAATCCGTCGAAAAGCGAGCGCAATGCCAATCCGTAAAGTGACCAAGCAAGCAATGCATCAACCAGCCGTTTTGCTGTGTTGACCTGTGTTGACCTACTGGAACCCTGAGTATATATAAATATATTAACTATTATTAACTGAATAACACGCATTTACAAACATGATGTGAACATGTGTGAACCATTTCCTGTTTGGCTGGAGGGTTCTTCCTAGCAAGCCTAACACACATCATTACTGTAAATTCACAAAAATCCTGGACAAAAGTTTCTCTCGAACCTCCAGATTCAACGCGCAAATGGACCCTTTCACCCTTTGATCGTGACGTTTCCTGGCGATCCTGGCCTCAAATGGCATCAAACAAATTGCACAGTCTCGACCTCAGCTTTGCCAGATTTCCTATGGTTCCCTAGTTGAACAGTCTTTAGATCCTTCCATTCTGGGCCATCCGAAAGGGAGCATCGTCGAAAGCGCAATCCCATTCTGAGCTCCACTTTGGATCACAAACCAAACATCTACCATTGAACGAAGTCTCTACATGTCTCGACGTCGATCAACAAGGAACCTGAAAAATCACTTGTGACTCACAACAAAACGGAGCTCCGGCAATTGTGGCGATGAAAACACCCGCCTTTGAAGTCATCGGGTAAAACGCTTGGGAGTGCCTGTCGATGCGCAGCCTTTCCGATCTTCACATGCCCCAGCCTTTGTACTTTGATGGATTTTGATGGGTTGATTTATATGTGGATTATGTGGGTGTATACCTGGAAGAAGGACAATAGACCAACACACCTTGGTAGGGGTCGGTCTCCCTATTACATCACACTCAAGTCTAGTGTAGCTACTCTCGTGCAAACAAAGCTGCACACTCTCTCTCTCTCTCTATCCATTCTCTTCACTGCTGGTGTGATTCCCTGAACTGTGATGGCATTGCTGTATCCCCAAAAAGGTACGGAGACAGTTGATCATCCTTCTGCTCCAGTGTCATACACTTGTCATACACTGAAGTTCGAAAACTGGAATGGACTGCTTCACATGGACGTCTGCTGTGTCCCCTTTGTGTCGTCACCGGGTCCATCTCCGGACCTCAACGGTTTCAGTGCTGGCGACAGGTTGTCCGACGGCCTGATGCGCCCATCGATCGGACAATGCGTCTCAAAGCACTCAGAGCTTAGTGACTGGTGTCTTTGGTGACGATTGCGACTATTGCGCCCAAAACACCACGAAAGGCGTGGAATTTTTACAGAAGTGGATTGGAGTGAATCAACGAATATGTAGAGTAAGGGCACCAAATCAGCTCAGGCTCGGCCTCCGATGGGTTTATTGGCGGAGGGGGGTGCATTAATTCTGGGCTTCGTGAGATCGGACGGCTGCATGGCTGGTCTACGATGGAGTAGATCCTCCTCGCGGGCGACGAGTCGCCCGCGACGAGTTGCAAACCACACCCTTCGAGATAGTGTGCCACTTAGTTAGGTACGTCCCAGTGTGATCCATCCTACCTGGATGTCATGTGAACTTTACATCTCTTCTACACCACAACATCCCAAGGCTGAAAATAGTGAATAGTGGTACGACCATCTCTGGCTGTTTCTGTAGCTGCTTGCCGCTGCGGCTCACCCACTTCTATGACACCAAAGGTGTGACACAGTGGCTTAGCCTCCCACCGGTCACCCAATTTCCACTCGCCGGCTTAGACTCCTGTCGCTTTTTCACGAGGAGGCGTGCCTTGTCAAGTCGCAAAAGAAGCTCATAGTCGTCAGGCCTCAAATGATCCACAGAGAGGGATGATCGTCAAGACCCGTTGAGACATCTGTTGAGAATGATTTCCTAACGGTCTCTTGGATGGAATTTGTGCCGACAGTGACAGTGCCGCCTGGTCTGAGACCCATGTGTTCTCTTTTCTTTTCGTAATCGATGCCATCGAGAGCGTGAGCCGCTCGCGCGCGTGTCATCGTTAGGCTGTCGACGTGATCTCACGTGAAAGGAGGTCAAGCACCTGGCGGTGGTCGTTTTTCGCTCTGAACTGACCCGTGGGGTGCGGGACTCGCATGGCGAGTCCGGACTCCCATCGAAACGCATTTCGAGTCAGACTTCAACAGTGGATGCCATTTCCGAGTCATCTCATGGCTGCTTCGATTCCATGGCCTGCAACGCATCGGAAAACCGGCCCTGTTCCGATTCGGAACCACCGGCCGCCGGAACCGCGGCCGCCGCCGCCCGCCCTCTCCGCGCCCTCGCCTCGACGGAGGTGAGGCCGCAGGGCAATCGGACCGTCGGATCATTGGCCGATGGGGAGGTAGATGCAAAGCGTGGCCTGCGCGGAACCGGCGTGGCCGGCGTGGCTGAAGGCGGTGGCCGCAACGAGAGCGGAGCAACGCGTTGGCTCAATCCGGAGGTGTGGCTTGTGAAGCTGCTAAGAGCTGTTCATGTGAACATCCTTGAAGATCCTCGAAGATCCTGGTCATCATTTCTCTTAGTTTTGGGGACAATGGCTAATAATGTGGGCTTACCCACGTGAGCAATTGTGGGCAAATGGATTAGACCTGCAGATCGAAGCCAACAGCAGCTGTAGGTCTTATAGGTCCGCTCGAAGACTAGTGGTTGACAAGACCGATGTTTCCAATGTTGCATGTTGCATGGTTCTCAGCCGTTTCTTCCGCAAGCAACAGCAGTGCCAGCAGGTTAGCACTGATTGGTGCAATCCTGCAAAACTGGGTGTAGGACATTCCTTCAAAGCTGACATGTTGCATTGCTCGTACTTATTTCCGCCGCAAGGGGCAGGGCTTCTTTCCGGCGAACTCGCCACAGCCATGGACGGGATGGACAGGCCGCTTCGGCATTTCCTATGATCGTCGGTTTGGAGCATTAAATACAAACCCAAAACACTTACATCCCCCCAACACATGATATATGGTATGCATGAAATGAACAAACCATCTGGGATGTATGAGTGGTCGTGCTCCGACAAATAGCAGCTCAGCAGGGATGATGTCAGTTGTGCGCTACCAAATGGTTTCTCTTGAGGGCTTGAAATCATTTCACCTTGAATCAACATGAATACACTTGATTCCAGATTTGAAATCACTCTTTTTTTAATCCCTTTTTGTGGTTTGCGTTGGATAGCATTGATAGCATCGGCTGTCGGCACCTTCGACGGTCAGGCCGTCGACTGTCACGGCTGCGACCTGGGTGGCGCCTCTTCTCGAGCAAGTTGTTTTACAGAAGAACCCACAGAACTCCTAAAAGTCCTAAAGCAAAGAAAACACATGCAACAACGAGATAAAGAAAAAAAATTATGGGCACCTGTAAAGGGGGCAGCATAGTTTCGGACTTTCCTGTTTTCTTTCTTTTGGGACTTCAAGAAACAAAGAAGGACGATTTCGGTCGTGACCATCTCTGGGGCACCCAAACGTCGGGTGCGATGATGTCTGTAGCCTGGGCACGGTGCGCATTGCGCCGGTGCCAGGGTGTTACTGCTAGGGTGGTCTTCGACCGCTGAAACGGGTGATACCTAAAATAGGGAACCCAAAGAAATCCTGGATGTACGCGTTTGGAGATGGGCCGTGAATGGAGAGACCTTCTCATCACCCATTGAGATATTACATTTTTTTTTTCGCTCCTTTTCTCATCAGGCTTCATCGATGGCCGTTTTGGCCCGGAACATCAGTGGGAGCTGCAGGCCTTCAGCCTGTCCTCCACACCGGCCTTGCAAGGCTTTGCTGGCCTGCCATGCTCGGTCTTTCATGGTGGCCTGAGCTTTGCATCTCTGGCATTTCAGCGTGTTGGCTCGCCGCCACATGCTGTGCGAGCTGTGTCCTTGCCATCCTTTCCCTGGTTCCCATGCTTCATTGATGCAACTCGTCTTGCTCAAAGCCTGGAGTTTTTGCACGGCTGCATTCCTCAAAGCCCGGGTGCCACAGCTCTGACAAACTAGGTAGCTGCCCTGGATTTGAAAGTTGTGCTCACCGTGTTCGCCGGAAGTATCCGCAAGGATCTTCTGGATGAACTGGGTCTTGGTCTCAGCATCTGGGGTGCAAGGCTGCTGGCCTCCTTTGGTGGTGCCTGGGTTCCCCGGGCACCTCTCTGTGGCTGCCGTCCTCAAGTCTTCAAGCTTGGCATGGAGGGTCAGCCTCTTGAGACAATGGTGGCATTGTTTGGCCCGTCCTTTAAGGAGCCAAGTGTGGGCGCCATCCTGTGGAGTCTCAACCAGCGCTGCAAAGGCCTGCTTCTTGCTTTCTTGCTTCTGTGTTCGCAGCGTTTTTCCTGTTTCCCTGGCCTGGTGCATGAAGTGGTCCTTGTTGTCCAAGATGTGTTGCACCCTCTTGATGGCAAGTGGTGCAATGCGCTTGTACTTCTCATCTTGCTGCTTCAAGAGGGCCTCCTCTTCCAGTGGCCTCAAGGACAGCGCAACCTCAGTAGCAGCCTTTGTGGCATCACGGAACCTGTTCTTCAAGGTCATATGCCCGCTTGGCATCTGCCTGATCTGCTGCATGGTGATGCTGAGGGCTTTGACTTGCTTCCTTTGCTCTGGAGTGACCAAGCTGCCCAGGTCGTGGAAGATGTGGTCATGCTTGCATTGCACCCATGCTTCCCATGCTTTGGCGGACAGGACATGGAACTTCACTTGGGCGCTCAAGTTGATGTAGTGGGCGGCCATCCTCAAACCATAGAACCAGGCTCTCTCCAAGGACTGCTTTCCCGGAAGCACCGTAGCCACCACTCCAAGGCGGTACAGCTCTTGGCCCAAACCAGCATGCTGAACCAGAGCCACCGCATAGTGCTTCAAGCGTGGGTCTTTGCTCGTGGCGGCTATCCCTATGGTGAAGACCGAGGTGTTGCTCACCTTCATCTCATCCTGCAAGGTCCAGCTGCCCCATGCCTGAACTGCCGCACCTCCAGTGGCCAACTCATACTTTGGCAAGGTGAGCAGCCCTTGCGTCCAGAATTCCAAGTGCACTCCATGGTCAATCTCGAACTGATC